CTCTTGGAGGAGAGACGAAACGTTTCATTAGAGAAGAACCCGTCCAGAAGACCTATACAATTTTTTTCTTTTTGACCCCACCTTGATGTTTCAGGGCCGACCTGATTTATGATCATTAAAACACAAAGATGGCTCTAACTGGGTCTGTTTTTCAGATCTTGAGCTGAAAGTTGACACGTTAATGGCTGAAACCCATACCAACGTATTGCACAAGATCTTTGATTGTCTATTAACAAAATATATCATGAATCATTGCATAGGTTGAAGTGAAATCTTCAAGAAATAATCATTGGATGGACCTGTACAGCTGATTAACTGTTGCAGTCAATCAAATTCAAGATGGCCACCACACCCAATTGGCATTAAAAATACAAAAATGTCTCTAACTCAGTCAGATTGATGGATATTGAGCTAAAATCTGGTGTCAAAATCATCACAAGATGATTTCATTGAAACTCTAGCATGAAAGGCAGGGATGTTGGGCCTTTTATTATCAAATTCTTTTATGTTTAATCTGTACTATTTTTTTTAATTTAGTCGTAGCCTTACYTTGTTTTACCCATTCTCTTAAAAACAAGTGTTTTTATGCTTAAGCTGAATTCTTCCCATGATTTCTGAGCTGCTCCAGACCTAACCTGCTGTCGTGTGTCCTCAGTGTGTAAGGGCAGTCCTCTGGGAGAGCTGCACCGCTGCGTTCAGGACCGGATCAGGGTCAAAGTTCACATCAGGACCTTTAAAGGGCTGAGGGGAGTGTGCTCGGGCTTTGTCGTGGCCTTCGATAAGTTTTGGAACATGGTGAGAGTCTGTCCGTTTTATTCATCCTGACAGAAGTGTCTCTCTGAATCTGGAGTGGTCCAGGTAAAAACTGGTTCTTACTTGTTTTTCGGCAGGCGATGGTTGATGTAGACGAGACATACAGAGAGCCTCTGTTTGGAGAGGCACTCCACCACGAGAAGGCCCTCACAGTTACACGGGTATGTACTACTTTAATATTACATAGTAGTTAGGTTGATAGTTCAATGTGGATGAGCTGACCCAATCACCAAAAGTTATTAAGTTGAAAGACTGATTGATTGATTGATTTAGCAATAATATTGCACATACATACTAGGGACTTTGATAAATGCGCTGCCTGATCCCGGCAGTGCATGGGTCAGGTTTCTGTGTTTTTTTTTGTTTGTTTGTTTGTTTTGTTTGTTTTTTACACTGGTTTTCATTCTTAACCTCCGCTTAGCATTTCAATATCTACCTTAAGGTTTTATCTACCGTATTTTTCGGACTATAAGCCGCACCCACCATTTAAAAAAAAAAATCCGCGAACATTAACATATAAGC